CCAAAGAAAAACCCTTTCGTCGGTGTGGGCTACCGCGAAGTATGCCGTGCCCAAAGGTCTTAGGTACCCATTTGGAAAACCCTACTTCCCATCTGTCTAGTTCTTCCTCCAATTCCGAATAACCCCAAACGCCTGTTGTTTACAAGACCCATCGGATATCACTTAGCGTTTTACCAGTAAAGCCAAACAATCAGAAGTTACAGGATTTTGGAAGCCGAACTTCCCTTTTCACTTGACCGCGTTCAATGTCCGCACACCCTATCAGATCGGTCAACAAGCTAGCTAGCTGGAACCCTTGAAACTTTCAATTTAGATGTATTTTATGTCTCCGAAACACGTATACAAGTCCCCACTTCCATTGTCTCTCTGCGTTCTCCTGATCTAACCTCAACCTCACGCTTCACCCTTCGTGTATCAGGTGATTCGGCGTCCGAAGCTCGCGGTGTTGCTGGTGTCGGGATTGCGCTAAGTGCCAAGGCTGAACGTTCGCTTCTTGACTGGATTCCAGTCAGTAGCCGACTGTGCACCATACGTCTCAACGGTTCATTGCGGGTCAACAGAACGAAGCGTCGATGTTTATTCGTCGTGTCGGTGTATGCAAAGACCGATTTCAGTACATCTGAAATCGAGGATGAATTCAACAAGGACCTTTCTCGATTACTCCAAAGCGTTCGATTGACAGACATCGTGGTAATCGCCGGAGACTTCAATGCTCAAGTGGAATCCCTGAACGAATCAGAGAGGCTTCTTGGTGGACCACATGCAATCCCAGCCAACCGGACGGACAACGGAGATCGCCTACTTCACCTCTGCACGGACCACGGATTGTTCCTGTCAAACACGAACTCGCACAAGTTCTGTTAGGCTCCCTGGCTGGGAGCCCCGGGATGATCGCAAGCCATGGTTAGAGACACTGAGTGATATGGCTGAGTGTCGTAAACAATGGCGTTCGTGCATCTTTTCAATTTCTCTGTATCATTAGTCCACTGAACTTTTCAATTTTCTCTTCGATCCTACTTTCAACCTTTCCTGTCTTTCTTCTAACGCTCATCCAAATAGGCAGCCGAAAGATAGCAACCAAAACCGGGGCACGATAGTGCATGGTTAATGGTTGTACAAACTGAACTGAACTGCACTGTTAGATGTTTAATGGTTCAACAGTCACAGTTTGCAATAAGTGTGAAGGCCGACCGCTCCCTGCTAGACAAGATCGCAACCGCCGTTTGACTATGTAACCATAACCTAATGGCTTTGTAGAGATTAAGAACAGAGCAAAACGCCACCGCTTAATCCTCATGTAAGCCTATGAGTCATTCGATTGAAATTTGCTTCACATGAAAGACTAAGTCAACAATACGCTATACCAATCTCCTTAAAATACCCCAGCCATTGAAGTCACCGATGTGGCAAGCGAACTGCAATCTCTAGATAAATATGAGGTCCATTTGTAACCCAACTCAATCAAATAAAAAACTGCTATTTTTTGCTTCAATGAGCGTTGAAGTTTCACTCGGATACGTGGGCCCTCCACCAGCTTTTCCTGCTATGGAAGTTTCTAATCGAGTCATATCGCTGGAGGCGGGGGCTGAGATGCGCGAGGTATGATGCCCTCAATAAGCTTGCAAAGATGGGTTATGTTATATCGTGAAGGCGGTCTGATCTGTTGCCCAATGGTCGAGTATGCTTGCGCTCCACCTGTAGCATCCTGGGTACGATCTCTGCTACGTCGCCAATTTATGTTTCATTCCGCTTATATCCGTTACCTACTATTATGTCGCACAGCACTAAATCACAGGTGAACACCACAAGTGCAAAGAACACAAGATATAGCACAGTAACACTAGTAGCACACGGGAACACGAGAACAGTGGATTGGCACTAAGTCCGTGAGCGGATGACAGTTCTAGGAGCGGAAGCTACCTAGGCGAAAGACCAGACGCACGGGCGGCTATCGACCCCTCAGGCCTAATTAGGGTTGAATGTGCTGTAAATTTATTCGAGTTTTTTTCCCACAGAATTAGCAAACATGCAGCCGGGCTTATCTTGGGACGCATAGCAATGATCTTTGTCTCATCTCAAGTTGAATGGATGAATTCACAATGCTGAAACCAGATCGAAACAGCTGCCCACTGCTTCCTAGTTTTCAGTGCATGTCTAATTTACACAACGAATTCATCCCATATTTATAATTTTTGTCTCTGTAAAAGAATAATGTGAAGTTAAACTTGGAGCAATGGTCAATAAACCAAACGCCGAGCACAAGTGTTCATCAGTTTGTTTCTCCTGAAGTTCTTCATTATCGAAATTCGATTCTCGATACATGCCATTATTGAATAGCAAATAATAAAACAATGCGAGTAGCAATGCAAAAACATATGAGGTCCAGAACATGGGACTAATACTAATCCTAAATGGCAACCCACATCGACAAGAAATTCGTGACACACACACACACACGGTTCAGGATGAGAATTACAAATAATAAAAAACACTTACTGTCCGATAACCCGAAAGCCGCAGCTAATTGAACTCGCACATCGGGCAAACCAACAACCGTGACTAATGACTCCCAAGCCCATTGAAGAAGACTGTTTGTTTGCACCATTGGGTCAAATACTGTAGACCGGCGATGAGATACGGAATCTGACAGAGTATTCGCTGATTCGGCAGGCCATAACCATCCATAATATAGTGGGAATACATGCTCAAAGTTTCGTACTTTGGATTCAATCGCCTCAAGACCAACAAAATGCACATTACGCTCCGCAAGCGCCTCTGTATCGAAACGCCATGGTGTTTGCGGAGTGACCATGACCACAATGTAGTGAAATCGACGTGCCAAATCTGTGTAGAATCGGCTTTCCCATGAACGAATATTGGTATTATCAATCACGAGAGGACTGACTCCGGATTCGGCGGCAGCCCGGGCACGTTGGTGACACCACTCATGCGCTTCATCCAGACGGGTGATATCGTATTGGTACACCTCACCACCGGACTCTAAATACCAGAACTCGTCCGCGGAACAGATCTAAGGGAGAAAACATGGACCAGAAGAACCAAAAAATAGCAAGGGTTACTCTATGAGAGTCGGCATGATAGTACTGGTAATAGTAGATATTATGCTCATGAAACTGTAGTTTTTTATGCGGGGTCAGAGAATGAAGATGGAATCAGAAGTAATAAACATCTATATTTGCTTATGATCTTAAAGGAGTGGAAGATGAAATCCCGAGAGAGTACCTAACATTGTTAGAACGCAGCATCCTAATATAGCCGAACTAATGGTGCAGAAGGGTCAGTTTGGAAATAGCGATCAGAAAGTTCGTAAGATGTAACTATAGGTGGTGAATTGGTATAAAGAACGAAATCCACCTGATATCGCAGCAGCAGTACATTATCTCATCTTTTAAGACTGATTTCTGTATATAGCGTTATCGTTTCTGAAGCATTAATGGCCAAGCACCTCCAGCTATCCGGTCTTCCATGGTAAAGGAATCATACTCGTAGCCGTATGCATCGGGTTTATGGTAATCAGGAGAAGGTAGAGTTATCTAGAACCTAATTTTTCTGATTGAGAAAACACTCAGTGACAGTTACCAGATAAACAACAGTGGTATTTAAGTCTAAAGTGATGCTTTAAAACTCTTGTATTTGTGAGAGTGATTCATCATTCTACTTCCACGGGGCAAATCTCTATGAACGGAGGGGAGAACGTTTGAAGAAAATACCGCAGAGAAATAGCCTAATCATCAGCAGTTTATTGTCTCAGTATTTAGTGCGAACGATCTTGCCACTTTTATTGAATTGTTAGCAAAATAAAAAATTCCAAGTAGTGGAGAACAGATGGTCTTCCTAAGTCAGATATAAGCGAGCTGGCAGATGGCTCCATTAAATACTAAGATACACACCGTATACTCCTGCAAAGATCCCATGATCTATGCTCCTATTTTTCATGGTCTTCGTTGCTGTATCGACGCTTGGTCTTGTGCGTTTTGCAACTCACACTAAACTTTTGTCCTGAAAGATGAGTTTAGTAGCATGTAGCAAGATGGGAACTAGATCTTCCGAAGACTGGAATGTGATCCAGACGAAGTCTATTTTCAGTATCACCAATAATAGTAATGTAAATATTAGTACTGATAGGAATAATAATAATAATCAAACTCGTCTCAGCGAATACCTAAATAAGCAGCCGAATCTCAAAAAAGAAGAGGCTGTCAGAGGATGAATAGAAAATGAGAAAAGTATGTAGTAATGGTGAGAATCCAGTACACCGTCCTCAAGCTGTGGAGGAAGTATCCTAAACTGACTGATTATATTTTCATCGAAAACATTCATTGTAAAAGGACAAATATACAAGCTAACTCTGAAGTGTTTCCACATTTGGTGTGAAACTTACTCATAGCCTGTCTTTATCGCATCCCTCTATCACAGGAAGTTTCACCACTAAGTGGACAAGTGCCATAATAGAAGTCAGTGCATAAATTCTTCGAGCTGTTGTAAGGAGCCACTCACATTTGTGAGTAGTTTTTGCGCACCAAAAAGCGGTTGGATTTCCACACAATCCGCGAGTGAATTACAAACTAGAGGTTTCATTTTGTGCAATCTTATTTACCCTAACCGCTGCTGCTCTTCAAAAAAATGACTTTCCTCGTCCAAACACCACCTTGTGGAAATTGTAACACGACAAATAAGACAGCAGAGTGAGGAAGACTACCGATCACTTTCAACTGATTTCCTAGTTCACCGAAAATTTGCTGTCAACATGGATGCGAAAAATTACGAAAATTGGAAAATATGACGTCACTTGCTTCTTTCTGTGGAGTACTTCAGTCATACATTTATCGCCTTAACAATTGGAGTAATAAGTGGGTTGTTACTGCTCCTGTGGCAAACAAAGACAGCCCGCCTGTCATCCCACACACCCGACCCGTAGATTTTTAACAGTTTAATAAGCTGTGAGAAGGGTGAGTCTCAAGGTCACCAAGGTTTACTGCCTGGTAAAGGAAACCAGAAAACTGGAATGGGAGTGGAGAGCCATATAAAAACTCTATAATGCAGTGGGTTTTTACACTTATTAACCTTGCACAGCCGTGTAACGAATTTGGTGGCTCTCTTTTTGTTACCTATTTGGTGGGCTAATGCAGGAGCAAACCAGAGTTCAAAACTAAGTGCACAATAAAGATACAGAAGGCAAGTGTGGTAGGGAAATAGATGCAAGAACGTCACTTTTTACGACAACCACAGTTCTCTCCTGAAAATTGGCTATACCGCTGAATACTCAGAAAAATTAAATGCTTGCTAAAATATTATTTATGTCGGGTGAGAGAACATTGAAAAAATTGAGTCGCTCACTAGCGAATCAGCTAAACGATATCATTACGGATGCAGACGAGACATTTTGCTCAATGCAGAAGATTCATAGTCAATCATCGGACAGGCTTAAAAGAAAGTGGTAGGAAGAGTATCGTCAACCCTAAACTTTTATGTGGTACAAAAATTGTTTGTACCCATACTAAAGCTTCTTTGATCAACCTCGGATACGCCACATTCTCACGAATTCGATGACCAGGTAAACATGACTTTGTGATTACCATCCACTCTCAAAGTGAATATCTGTAACAGGGCCATGCCTATCTGCGTCTTACAATGAAATCGCCTGTAGGTATTCCGAACTACATGCTCCGCACGCGATCGAATAATTACGACATAATATTTTACTGAACTCCAGCAGAGTAAGCAGAGCAATTTGGGGAAGCTACACGCGATAATAGCATGACCAAGGGACCTGTTTGAAGTTCACTACGATGATCACGAATGCCTTTCTAGTAGAATCGGATGAGTTCTGCAGTGATCAATACAGGTATTTTGTGGAAACCTTTCTTGATATTTCAGCACAGCTGAACTTTCAAAGGAGAATCGATTGATAACGCATAGTTGAAAGTAGCCACTGTGTCAGGCCTACAGTAGTTCAATGAACTATGACGGAATATTAACCCAAAATTAGGTATGAAAACAGGAGAAAAACGAGTAAGCATAATACAAAAGTTAGGTGTGAAAAAGATGGTAGAAATATGTGTAAAGTGATGCATTTTCGTAACTCGGTTCTTCGGAAGTTTTTTAACCGTTGAATCTGTCACTACAACGGGTAAGAAAGCACTCAATGCGTGTGAGGTGAAGTGTAACTGGTGTTTCACTCTGAAGCAAGCTGTGAAAAGCCAAATAGAACTGATTATTCATGGTCCCCATCAGGTGATGTTTTTCAAAGGAAGCAGATCAAGTGTGGTTTGATTTCTCCATAATTTACAGGCAGTTCAGTTCCGTTTGTACAACCATTAACCACGCATATTCGAGCGCCGGGTTTGGTTAGTGTTTTGGTTGCAAATTTCGAAGAAAAATAGGAGAAAACAGGAAAGTTGAAAGTGAAGTGAAAAGAAAAGGGAGAATTTCAGTCGTCTAGGGTTGCAAAGAAATTGAGGAGATGCACGAACGCCACTGTTTACGACAACCAGCCATATCACTCAGTGTCTCTAACCATCGGTTACGGTCATCCCGGGGCTCCCAGCCAGGGAGCCTAACAGGACCTATCTGACCCAACGTAATCTACGGAGGTCGACCACTTGCTCCAGTGGGCGACCGTATTTACCCAAAACTGTGCACCTAACCTCAGCATCGCTCGTCCGGCTACCCCACCAGATTCGTGCAATGCTGCGTAGACAGCGGGGTTCAAACACCGACAGACTGTCTTTATCCTGTTTTCTTAATGGCCAAGTTTCTGCACCGTATAGCAGGACTGGCCGAACTGTCGCGGCATACACTCGACCCTTCACAGACAGCCGGATGTCGCGACGGCGCCACAGATGTCTCAAGTTGGCAAATGCCAACCGAGCCTTTTGTATGCGAGCTGACACTTCATCTGTGATGCGTCCACCGGGTGATAAGTAGCTGCCCAAATAACAAAACTTATCCACCTGCTATATTACTTCCCCGGTTAGAATGAGGTTGAGTGCTGAACCAACACAGTCTTGTAGTAACATTTTACACTTTGAAGGTGCAAAACGCATACCGAACATGGCTACACTAGCACTCAAGCTATCCAGAAGGGCTTGCAACTTATCTGGATCTTCACTTAGTAGCACAATGTCGTCTGCGTACTCCAAATCAGACAGCCTGCCACCTGGGAGTAAATCGATGACACTATTCTCGCACGAGTATAGGGCTATTTCCATAATCAAGTCTATATCAAAGGCAAATAGAAAAGGAGAGACAGGGAGCCCTGACGAACACCATGTTCCGTGGTGAACTCGGGTGAAAAAGTGCCGTAAGCTAGGACTCGAGTTCGGCTATTAGTATGAAGCGATCGTAATATTGAAAATAACTTCTCGGGCACACCCTTCAGGGAAACTTGGAGAGCAACAATGGTAAGCGGAAATGTGCAGAGCATTTGAGAAACTCATGTGTTTTGAGATCATTAGACAACCCGGTTGACTGAAACTTTATCGCTCAAGGTTTACATGGTAAATGCTCGGCTAGGGCTAACTAATAAATAAATAAGTTGTTCGGAACTTTAGTCAGGAATTGCACAGGACATCTGTTTTATTCTGGCACAACAATAAAGGGCTACAGAAAGCAACACCTTAGTAAGTAATAATGTGGTATATATTAAGGAAATATTCCGCTGCAAAAAGGATGGAAAAGTAGTGAAATGCAAGATATGTATATGTATATTTACATGGTGAATCTCGTCGTGTAAAGAGAAAATGAAAGGTGAACTGCAAAGCTAGAAAGCATTGGATAGCTGTTTCAACCTGAGTAGGTCTCATAAGCAGTGCGAATTCATCGACCGAACTAGGAATCAAACCATGGATCTCACGGACAGAATGCAAGCATACTACCCAAGCCCGTTTACATGTTACATGAGAGAAGTGGAAGATTCGGCTTGTATATTCGTGTATTCGGGTTGGAATGTTGCATACCGAGTCATAAGCTTGGAAACTAGTGCTGAGCTGTTCTAGGTACGATGCCTTCATCCGGCTTGCAAACGTGGATTGTGCTTTATCGTGTATAAGGAAAACAAAGAGCGCTCTCATCATCTGTCTCATGGCCGGATGAATAGTATGCTTACGTTCGGCCCGTGAGGAAACTGGACCGATTCCCAGTTCGGTTGATGGATTTGCACTGTTGATAAGACCCAACCAAATCGAAACAGCTGTTTAGTGCTTTTTAGCCTTTAATTCGTTCTTTACACAACGAAATTCACCATATAAACAAACGAAATCCTCCAATTCTCTCACGTAATCCTTCATTTCTTAAGAGGAAGTCATGATTTTTTATTACACACTTGTGTGATGAACAGCAGATGGGGCAAACCCCATGATCACAAGATCTGGTGTTCAGTGATTAAAACCGGTAATCTAAACCCGGGGACCTGGAGTGAAGAACCATATAAGGTCCTTCTCGGTTAGGCGTGGTATTGAACCGGACGACAGCAAAGCTGCCTACCACCAAAATTGGGTGACGGTGGCGCGGCTCGAACCTCGGACCACAGGGTTCGAAATACGCCGGTGAGTGACCAGACCACCGCACCACCACAACCCATTACCAGAAGGAATAAATTTCGTTTAATAGTGACACAAAAGTATGCCCAGTGAATACACTTACCTTTGCGGTTGGAAAGCGTGTTTTTATACATTCTGCAATAAATGATTTTCCCGATCCGGGCGGTCCCCGCATAAGGAACATGAATCGTGTTTTAACAATCCAAGCAGCAAGTTCGTCGTCTGTTAAGAAAGGGAAGTTGACATACTGCCGAAACATGCTTGGCTTTTCAAACTGTTGAACCGGTGCTTTCAAAGGGGGATCGATAGGAGCCACGGGTCGCGCAGCGGCAGCGTTTACAACTGAAGCAGTGCGGGTTTCTATATGTTCCGGTGAATGATCGTTGCACAGTAGGGACGTATCCGTATCGTGGTTAGACTGAGGACGACGGAATTTGCCATGTCTTGTAGATAATGTGAGACAGGCAGTTGGACAAAGATGAACGAAGAAGTTCCCCATCGCATATAAAGCGTACTGTAAATTATGCCAATATACTTTCATGAACCTCTTCGACAGAGGTCAAGGATAGGGTACATGGCATAAGTTATCAGCTCTTGGCCACGAATGCTTTCCCAGACAGTTATAAATTATTCTGCTGAAAAAAAGTTGCAGCCAGTAGTTATATAGCCTCAGACGATGAAAGAAATCAAAAAAAGGAAGACCTTTAACGTGTCAAGTTAAAGGTACCTTGAAATGATCGGGGAAGATAGTTCCCAGGATTAGTATAACTCAAGATGACTATAAGAAGACATATTTACTACCATCAAATCGAATACCATCCCGTACTGAAAACCCAATATTTTTTTAAAAAGATTTTTAACCTTTTGACTGCGATGAGTATGAAACATTTTTACGAAAACAAGCTTGTTCGCTATATTGTTTAACTTGCAGTGTTCAAGACAAATACAATAAGGCAGATACAATGTTTTTTCGTAGAGTAAACATGAGCGGGGTCGAATAAATTGTTATTTTTATGAGGGTGTTCGATTTGGGAAAGAACTTTGAGAAAATGGCGTATAATATGATTAAGACAAGAAGCCCTATTCGAAGATACGATTCGAGATACAATACGAACTACATCACGATGGTAACCCATGTTATCAGGAAGGAATTTTAATGCAAAGTGTAAAGGAAGCAACGGTTTTGAGGAATTCATTTTCATTGCTATAAATTCGTAAATTTTGGAAGCAACAACCCGTGGATGCTAGTCTAATTGATTCGGATTACGACACACTTAAGTGTGAGAGAACGGAAAGAAGACAATTGGAGAAAAAGGCCATGAATCATTAGATTGCAGGTGAAACTGGGTAACATGATAGATTGCCATCCCCATCATACAGCGGAACACAGTGTAAGGCAGATAGGGATAGGATCTTTTGGGATAGAGAAAAGGAAGTCAACTACTATGATCAGNATGATCAGTAAATAGTCCAAATGTGCATATACATACAATTTCAGGCACTCTGGTCTGATAAGAAGTGATAACAAGAACACCACTGCCGTTAGTTTGTTGTCATATCTCTCAGTATCTCCAATCGTTAAGTTGCAATGTTTTTGACACCAACCCGCGAGACGAGAGACACCAACTCTACCTAGACGTGTACATTTCTTCACGATACGTTTCGACGTCTGTTGACCTCCACGCGGTTTCCTCCGGCCGGGAGTGGCAATGGCATATAAGCCGCGGNAAGCTTATTGCGCTGAATTTGATGCAACAGCAAGTTATTCTTCGATACATTCCTAAACACCTGAAAACCTACATCTAGCTCACTAAAACGTTCACTCCATCCAACCGGGGCCAGATTACGTAAGCATCGACAGCCCAAAACGTCCAGACGATTGATTTTTTATTGCACACATTTGTGTGGTGAACAGCAGACGGGGCGGAACCCATAGTCACGAAGACCTGCTGATCTGTCATGGAAACCGGACTTGGAGTGACGAACCACATAAGGCGCCGCTAGGTTAGGTGTGGTATGGAACCGGACGAGAGCAGAGCTGTCTACCACCAAAAAGGGAACGGCCGCAACACCCGGTATTCCCAGCCGGTCACCCATGCAAGTACTAACCGGGCCCGACTTTGCGTAACTTCAGTGATCAGACGAGAATCGGTGTTTGGTTTCGGCAGTCTGCTACTCGGAAATCATCAACGTCATCGTACAGCGGAATACAGTGAGGCGCACTTCACTGGTCGCTGCCAAACTCGCAATGCATAAAAGGTTAGGGATAATACTTAAGGTGGATAGGGATTGGACTTATTTTGAGGGAGGGAGAGGGTGAACCTCTATGGTCAACATAGAGTACGCAATCCAACTCTGCATACATATCTTTTCAAGCATTCTGGCCTGATAAGAAATGACAACAAGAACGCCACTGCTGTCGGTTTGCTGTCACATCATTCAATGTCTCCAACCAACCGGTTGTGGAATATTTCGGACCCGAACCTGGAAGGCGTGAGACAACTACTCTACCTAATGGCTCTGTGCATTTCTTTATTCCTCATCTCCACGTCATCTGTTGACCACGTGGTTTCCTCCAGCCCGGAGCGGCTACAGCGAATTAAGCGCAGTGTGCCAGATGACAGCTGGGTATACGCAATACGTACCCTAGCCAGCGAAGCCCACTAAGTTGAATTCGATGGGCTAGCAGGTTTTCCCCTGATAAACACAAACACACGACGGCATACCTCCACATTACTAATCCCAATACCAGATGCGACCAAGCTCCCGAGGTACTTAAAGCTCTCAAACACTTCCAGCTGATCCCCACAGAGGGTGGGTGCAGGCACAGGCTTCTATCAGTCGTGTACAAGCACCATGCATTTGGACGGCGCAAAGCACATACCATACTTAGATACCTCGATCGCCAAGCGGTTTAAAGCGTTGTGGACTGCCTGTGTATTGTCACCCAGCAAGGCGATATCATCGGCATATTCTAAGTTCCTTGGGAGGAGTTCCACTCCACAGTTTGCTAGACTGGACAGAACATCCTGAAGAACATCCTTTATGACAGAGTCGAGGAGGAATGGGTTTATAGGGCAACCTTGGCGAACACCACTGGAGACGGCGAAGGGTGGTGAAAGCTGGCCATAAGCCCTAACGCGACCTGAGGTATGGCGATACGACTCTTTTAGGACCGACACATACTTCTCAGGAACTCCATTCCTCAACAAACAGCTTCATGGTGCGCTCCTATCAACAGGAACGAAGGCCGCGCGCGAGTCTAAGAACACAATTATCATTGGTCTATGGTAAGCATGATGGTGCTGAAGCAGCTATCGGAGGGTGAAGATTAAATCGATGCAACCACGACCGGCACGAAACCCAGCCTGCTCGTCGTGAGCATATTCCTCATGCGTTTTGTACAATCTACGAAGAATGATGGACGCTAACAGCCTTGATGCTATCAAGATCAGGCTTATACCCCTATGATTGGCACAATCATTGCGCGGGTGCTTTTTAAAGACGGGGACGACAATCGACTCCTTCTACGAGAAGGCGACCTGCTCAGAGTTCCAAACTTTAGAGAATAAGACCTGTAGTTCTCTAACAAGCTTTATTTCACCGTCTTTAAATAGAGCTAGGGAAAGGCCATCGGAGCCCGGCGTTATGTGACGTCCCAAGGTTTGGATCTACTTACGGATTTCCGCATCCCAGGATGGGTCTGTTGATACAGACCATGGGAGGTGTGCCGGAATAGCAGTGTGAGAAGCTTAAGCTAGTGGCCGATGGCACACTGGTTCACGATCAGTAACGCCGTCTTGACCGTTGGGCTGAACATTTCAAGGCT